AATGCCAGGAGGCACCATCTAGACTTCATCGGCTTAGGGGGCGGACCAGAGAGTTTACCAGGTAGAGAAGGGACTTGGTTGGATTTGCCTTTTAGGAAGACTAGGGTAGCTGCTGGGAAGGATGGTCTGGGAGGACCCTGTGGTCAGCCTGGGACAAGTGCAGTGGGACCGCAAGTGAGGGTGACTTGTCCTTTGCAGGCCTGCAGGAATGTACATGCTTACTCAGGTCTGCATTTCCTGTGCCTCAGTTACTACCCAGCAAGGAGACAGACTCTATGGTCTCTGCTTCATTACAAGGATCTAAGGCAAAAATACACACAGAAACACAGAACAAGATGAGGAAATGAGGGAAACCAGGGGCACTAAAACACTTAGGTTGGGTACGTTCCTCAGAGGGTGGAGCTCCGTCTCAGCCCTTGGAAAGTGTTGGATCGGCCCCTGCCCCACCCTCACCCAAAGTGAGTTTTCTTCCTCCTCCCTTGTCTGTGGTCAGAGTGTGAGTCTTTGCTTTCTTCTCAGCTCTACTGAAAGCATTCAGGAAACTGAAGATGAGATAATGTCTATAAAGCGGTTAGCACAGTGCTTGTCACATGCATAGTAAACACTCGATAAACAGGAGCATTAAAATAATCTTAGAGATGAAGAAAATGATGAAATCCTCAACACTCAAAACTGCAAGAAGTTAGACTCTGCTGGGGAAATACAGATGTGAATCAGACATGTTCGTAGTAATCAAAGAATTCATAGTGTAGGTGGGAGAGACAGACATTCGTAGATAGATACAGGACAGGGCAGAGGAATTGTGACTTCTGCTTCAGTGTCTGTCCAGTATCTACCAGCGGACCCAGTGTAGCAGCACTCATGGATGACAGGCTTTGGAATTAGACAGGCCTGGGTTTGAATGCATCGTCACCAGCTTACTAGCTACTTACCACTTGTGAGTATTCCTTAGCTCGTCTGTAAGTTGGGGACAAGCATATCTGTCAATTCTCAGGGCTGTTGGAGGATGCACACGTACAGCATCTTGCTGAGCACCTGGCTCACATTCAGGGTATAGTCAGGGAAGAGGTTACTGAGAGACAGCCAAGGGCAGGCATTTTAAAGCCAGCCCAAATATGAGTCCCACTTGAAAGCTGCAAGACATCCTGCCAGTTTTCTAATCTGTCTAATCCACAGTTTCTTTAACTCGAAAATGGGGTGATGACAGTTAAGACTCACCTTCCAGGATTGTCATGGGGATTAGATGAGATTACATTTGTAAAGGATTTAGCTCAGTCCTTGACGTGTGCCTGGAAAGCATTAAGTAAGTGGTACCTGTTAATTACCCCAGAAGATGCAGAACAAGATGAACCTTGACAATCAGCCAGTGCTAGAACCTGAGAGGAATTACCACAGATTATAGGGCGTGTAGAAGTGCTGCCAGCGTGCTCCTGATTTGGAGCTGAGATTGCTGGAGCAGTGTAAGGCTGTCCCTTGTTACCATTCTTGCAAGACAAGAATGCAGCTTCTTGGGCTTCTGCCACTTCTTGTCAGCAGGCCAATGCCACAGATCTGAAAAACAACTAGGCATAGGACAACAGAAGCCAATAGAGGCTTCCCTGCATTTTGAAGGGAATAACTGCCCAAAGTAAAGCTCTGTAGGTCAGGGGAAGAGGAAACACCCAGGCAGTAGTGTATGCTGGGAGGTACACAGTCCATGGTGGCATCAGCTGAGCAAATTAGAAAATTAAATACTTACATAGAAGGAAGCCAGAGCCACGACAGCAGAAGTATCCTGCTAGAAGAAGGGAGCTGGTCTAAGGAGCCTGTGCATTAGCTCACTCTTCAGCCTCAGATCTGAGAATTAACTACCATAACCCTGGGCAGAGGGAAAATTCATTCATGTTGTCTATGGAAACAGAGTAAGTCTGGAGTCACGTACAGGTTACTTGATTTTATGCTTCGATAAGAAAAAATAACTTGAAAAATTATAAGAACAAAAATATAAGCGAAAAAGAATTTAGGAGACTCAGAGGAAGAACCTCTGAAAATGATCTACCTGAAAGTGTAGAAAATTCTGTTTGATAAACTCAATTACATATAAGAAAATATGACCTCTATCTTAGTTCTCTTAGGCTGCCATAATAAAATACCATAGACTGAGTAATGTAAACAAGAGACATTTATTTCTTCTAGAGCTGGAAGCTGGGAAGTCCGCCATCAAGGTGCTTCTGTGGTTAGGCTCAAGTGAGGGCTCTCTTCCTGGCTTGTAGACGGCCACCATGTGTTCTCACATGATGGTCAGAGAGAGAAAGAGGGCCCACAGGATTTCTGGCATCTCTTACAAGCTCACTAATCCCATCCTGAGGGCCCCACTTTTCATGACTTCATCTTAATACCTCCTAAAGACCATGTCTCCATATATCATCACATTGGGGAGTAGAGTTTCAACATATGAATTTGGGTATGGGTATGGGGGTAGGGGTGCAGCTCCATACATAGCATGACCCTTGTGAAAAAGGAGGCTGAAGTTGTATGGTGAAGAAGCAACAGGATGAGATAAACAGTCAAAGAAAGAAGAGTAAGATGAGGAAGGATTGCAGGGAAGCAGAACAGAAAAACAATCTACTTTCTAGATAGTAGAGAGCAGAATTGGTTTACAGAAATGGAATCAGTGATGTGAAGAACACACTTGAACAAACGAAGATAAAGAGAGAAAAGCATGATAAATATGAAGAATCCAGATAATTGGTGTTATAGACTATTGGGCAGAAACAGTATTCTTAAGATCTATTAGAAGAAAAATTTGCTCAGCTAAAGAAAATCTGCATATGCAGATTTAATGGGCTCATCGTGTTTCAGATGGAGTCAGTGCAAAGCAACCCATACCTAAATAGATCTCTGTGATTTTTTAAAACTATAAATATAAAGGGGAGGGAGGGGGGGAACTATAGGCATCCAGGCATAAAAAAGCATGTTACCTGTATGTGAGTTCAAGGTAGAGTTGCCTCAGACTTCTTTGAAATTCTGAATCTCAGAATGTAATGGACACATTTTGAAGGGAAAAGGTTGTAATCTAGGAATTTTATATCTAGACAAACGGATTTGTATGTAAAGAGATAAGCAAGGGCTCAAAAAACACCCTATTTCTCCCATTTACTCACCTTCACAAAATTATTTGAAGATACACTTGGATGAACTGAGTTGTAGAGCACATTTAAAGGCTCAATTATGAGCAACTGGTAGTATTAAGGGGACTTGTGAATACTAAAACCAGATAAACTACAAATTTAAAATGTTCCAAATATGATGATGAAAGTGAATGCAAAAGACAAAGATTATTTTATAATATTAAAAATGAGCTTAAAAGAAAAGAAGAAATTAAGAAAGATTCAGTAAAGTAGGTTAAACTAGTCCTACCCATAGTTTGGTTCTAGACCAGCAAGATTAGCATCTCCCAGAAGTTTATTGAAAATGTAAATTCTTAGACCCCACTCCAGATTTAGGGGATTAGACTCCCTGGGGTGGAGCGCAGCAGTGAATGTTGTTTCTCACATGTGCTAACGCTTGAGAAGCACTGGGTTAAACTACCTTTCTCAGTAGTGATAGACTTAATGGTATTATTTTCCAGTTGCCTATTAACAGTTAGAGAAATATATCTTACCTACTGTCTAAAACAGTGGAGGGTATTGGAAAATAATGGAATATTGCAGAATAATGGAAAAAGCAAAGGGTTCATACATCAAACATCTGGAAACAGAGCAAGTCAGAAAGGGCGGAGCATGGGAAAGACTCATGAGTCAATCGTGGCAATAAAAGCAAATGGCATAATTTCCTTTATTAGAAGACAAAGATTGTCAGGTTGATTTAAAATAATCCAGTTATTAATGGTTCGTTAGAAACAAGGTTAATACCTTATCTGCACTCTGCTTTGAGCTTCTCTTTCTTCTTGAACTAGATTAAAGACCTTATCATGGGTTTTTCTGGCTTTGTATATGTCTTCGGAGGGCACGTATTGTGGTTGCAGTTTTAAATTTGTTCAAGTCATTTGATTTTTCCGTCTCCTTTTTTACGGTTTTTTAGACTGTAAACTCCTTGAAAGCAGGAACTACGAGTTTTTATTTGGCATTTTGTTTGGCATTTATTTTGGCATTTATTTAGCACAGTACCTGTTTAATGAATGAAAGTACAAGAAAATTTAGGGAAGTGTCTTTCAGCTCATGCAAACAATAGAGAGCAGGACCTGACAAAATAATTATCAAGTTAATATTAGTGCCAAACAAATAAAACAGTGTAATTAAATGTTACAGCACTGGTTCTTAAAGTTTCCCATGCATCGGAATTTTATGGAGGGCTTGTTAAAACACAGATCTCAGGACTTAGCCCTTAGATTTTTTTTTTTCTTTCATTTGGTCTTGAGGAAAGAACTTGCATTTATAACAGCTTCCCAGATGAAGTTGCTGATCCAGGGACCACACTTCTAAGAGGCACTTTGTTGGAAAATAGTTTCATGTTAATAAAGGCTACACTTCTTAGCAAAGACTTTGATCGCATGGGCTTTATCCACTAAATAACATTGTAACTAAGCATACAAAAGAAATTTAGAAATACTGCGAAATGGAAGGAATTATCACAACATTTAGTCTTTGAAAGAGCAAGTAGACAAAAAAGGTTATCTAGAATTTATTTTTACTTTTTAATTTTTATTAAATCATAAAGAGGTAGATCGTGTATACATTAATGCATTTATGGGGTACAATGTGCTGATTTCATATATATTTTGGAATGCTTACATCGTACTAGTTAATATATCCCTCCCCTCATTTACTTAATTATTGTGTTAAGACATTTATACTCTAATATTGATCCAACAACTGTGAAGCTTATAAATAGCGAATTATATACCTATTCCAGTATCATAAATCAGTTACAAAAATTACTTAATTGCTAAAAATTCTAAAGCTTCTATATTAGGAAGGAAAAGCCACAAGCAGACTGAGAAACCAATTAAGAAAAAATTAATTGTAACATGTATAACAAAATGTTGATATCCTTAATCTACAAAGAGTATAGTGATTTTTAAAAGGATAAATAATACCTGTAGAAGCCTTGCTCATAAACACAAAAGTACCCCCCCTAAAAATAGAGTTAAACATGAAAAATTGTTGATTTCCTTCGAAAGCAAAGAAATGAAAAATAAAGTCATCAGTGCAATATAGTTCTCAAATAGGCAAAATTTAAAATCATAATACTTAATCTTGGCTGTAGTGTGCAGAAACAGTCATTTTCACATGGCTGGGATGACGGTGATATGCTTATCAGAAGCCTTAAAAATGCATATTCTTTTCCCGCCTTTTGGAATTTTTCCTGAGGAAATAATGTGCAGAACTACTGAGTGAATGTGCAAAAATTTCTACAGAGATGTGGATCACAGCATTTTTTAACCAGAAAATTTTTGAACAATCAAAATGTCCCTTGATGTAGGGGGCTGGCTCAGCAAATTCCAAAGTCCAGTAGGAATCATGCAGCCAATAAGTGCAGTAGAGATCAATATTTATTGATTAGGCAAGATGTCCACAAAGTTATTGTCGACTGAATACACCAGGTTACAAAGGGAATATTGATCAGGGCCTGCTAATTCAGGGCCCAAAGCGCCAGACAGGTGATTTCAGCCAGAGAAGCAAGGCCCAGATGAGATGGAGTGAAGGGTGGGGCCGGGGCAGAGGGGAGATGGCAGGGTGCACGCTCTACCCAAGGGGTAGATACTGCTCTTTGGGGATTACAGATGCTTGAAATTTCTCTTTATTTTTTTATTTTCTATTTGTATTTATCAGTATTTTATAATTTTCCCCCAGTGAACAATATTACATCAGACATTTTTAAGAAGAAAGAAGTTAGGCAGTGCCAAAAGAGAGGTAAAGATAAAGCCTGGTGGGACCTGAGAGGAAGAAGTGACCCCCTGCTGCAGGGGGTGGGGGTGTTCTTGGGGACAGGAAAGGTCCTGCAGATGAGGGGACCCAAGTGTGGCCATAGTAGAGGGCAGCGCTTGCAAAGGAGCTGTCAGCTTGTTTGGCATTGGAGGTCAGCTCAGGTCACCATGCATTTCTTGAGCACCGGGGCTGGGGGCGGAGTAATGGATGAGAACAGCATGTGCCAGGTACTGTTCTAAGCACTTGCCATATAAATTTAATCCTCACAGCAATCCTAGAAGGTGGTCCTGTTATTACCTCCGTTTTACAGATAGGAAAACTGAGGCACAGAGGTTAAGAGACTTGCCCGAGGTTACACAGCTCCACATGGCCGAGCTGGGATTTGAACGGAGGCATTCTGACTCCGGAGTCAGATTTGATACTACTTGGTGGGCCCTGATGAGGAGCAGTTTGTTGGGGGTGGGTGGAAGCATGCTGATTTCTGGGTGGGGGCAGGTGCCTGTTCTTACATGTCCCTCTCCTCCTTGGACAGAAACTGGCAATTACACCTGTGAGTTCTGTGGGAAGCAGTACAAATACTACACGCCCTACCAGGAGCATGTGGCCTTACACGCCCCCATCAGTGAGTACCTCCTCTGGCTGGGGGTGGGGGACAGTGGCTGGCCACTGGCCAGGGTTCTGGAGCTTGACCAGGGAATTGTGAAAGCAGTGTGAATTCAGTTCTGGGTCAGCCTCTAGCTGTCTGGGTCTGACCTGGGGCCACCTACCTGCAGTGACTGCAGTAGGTGGGAATCTCTCTACCCCCTTAAGTCAGTAGAGGCAGAGCCCTCCTTTAGTGGACTCAGAGGACTGTCCCCACCTCCTCTGGGCACCTCCAAATCATGTGGATCCTGAATCTTTACTGCCAGAGCTAGTGCCCTGTGATACATCTTCAGTCTGAACTAATGTGGGAAGAACCCAGGCCAAGGCGATGATGGTTAAGATGACAGAATAGCTCCCTCTTTGCCTTTGTTGGTGGGAAACTAAGGAGCACTGAGATGGGAGTCGGAAGCCCTAAGAGTCAATCCCTGCAGGGCCCCAGGCCTGCTTGTGACCTTGGGCAGGCCCCAGCCTGACCCTAGTCCACCATCTTCCACTCTTCCCATGGCAGAGAAGTGAAAGGGCTCTAAGGGCACGTTGATGGGGACATCCCAGCCTTCTATCCTCCTGATATCTGTGGGCCTGATTTACCAGTTCCTTTTCTGGACATCCAGAGGGGTCTCCATCCTGAGTTCCCTGGGTCTGTGAGCTAGGGGGCCTCAGTCCTCCATCCGCTCTCATACACATGCAGAAACCAAAGTTTTGGCAGGAGTGGGACTTTGTGCGGATTCTCAGGGCAGCATGGCTAGGTATTAGAAACCTGTATGGGTTGTTACTGCTTTTGTTACTCATAGCAAAGCTGTAGGGATCCTATACCCCATTCTATTGATGGAGAAAGACTTAGGTCCAGAGAGAGGGTCAGTGGGGATTCAAGCCACTTCCTAAATTTGGAAGGCCCATGATCCTCCTGGAGACCTGACACCAGCAGCACTGGCAGGCATCTCCCTCCAAGGTATTTGGGTGGGGAGGAAGAGGTATCTAGACCTTTCTTCCTTGCTGGGCAGTGTGACAGGGACTAAGAGATCTCCCCATGGGTGATGGCTCCAGTCCTGAGGTCAAGTGCTGGGCTAGGCTTCTTATCCTGGCTTGCCTCTGACTGCTGTGTGACTTTGTGCCTGTCACTCCCCTTCTCTGGGCCCAGAGTCTGGAATCCAGACAATTCTGATGTGAGGTGAGCCTCTGGCAGGTACCTGCTATGGCTCAGCCTGGGAGGTGTGGTTCATTGAGTGCCCAGCACCTAGCCAGGTTCTGTGTGGGGAGAGGATGCAGAGGTTCCACTGGCTGGGTACCAACTCGCCCAGTCGATGGACTTCTAGTGCCGATTCCCAGGTATCAGGGCTGTGGCTGGGCTTAAACTCCCAGCACAGGCCGCTCTGGAGATCCAGCTTTCCATGGGCAGGGGCAGGGACAGCTGAGTGTGTGCCTTCCAGTGAAACAGTGAGCGTCCCCTTGCCTGGTGCCCAAGCACGTGCTACTCAGCGGTGCACTTTCAGCTAGGTGTTAGTTCCAAGGCCAGCCTACAGCCTTGGTTTCAGCCATTGGAGAACACTTTCTGTGCTGCTCCTGTTCTTCCTGGAGCAAGTTGAGAAGGTCACAGGGTTAGTAAACGGGGAGCTTGACTTTGAATCCTGGCAGGCAGGCTCCAGGCCCATACCAGCCATAAAGCTCTCCCACATCACAGGCCAGATGATACAGCAGGAAGGGGTGTATCACTGGCACCCTGATTCTTCGCAGCAGCCTGATGCTTCTCTTCTTAAGGTCTGTGTACTTCTTTTTCCCTATTCTTCATTTTCTCTTGCTCTCTGGTGTGGACTCTCTCTTTGTCTTTCTGCATTTGTTTGTTGACGGAATCTCTCTATTACCAACTGAACTCTGGGGACTGTAGGATCATTTGTGTTTAAAGCAGAGCAGGAGAGATTTAGACTAGGTCCAACAGAGGATTAACTCTCCAGATCTGGCCAAGAGACAGCCCCTCTGGTGGTCTCTGGGTCTAGAGATGTGCAGGCTGTTGGGTTCTGTGTGAAGGCAGGGGCTGGACTGGGGGGCTTTGTAAGATGTTATCCACGTCCAGGGCTTGAGACCCTGAGTCTGGTGAGGATATCTAGAAGGACACGGGCCAAGTACAGAAGACGTTTTTACAAATGGAGTCGTATAATATTTATTCTTTACGTCTGGTTCCTTTTGCCCAGTAAATGTTTTTAAGACTCATCGCATGTTATTATGTGTGTCAGTTGTGCATTCCTTTTTAGCTGAGCAGTAGTCCACTGTATGAAAGTTCCACAGCTTGTTTAGCCATTTACCTCTTCATTTGGGTAGTTTCCAACTTTAGGTTGTTACAAAAACCGCTATGAAAAATGCTTATAGAGGCTTTTCGTGGAGTAGAATTACTGGGCCATGGGGGCTGATATATTTAACTTTTTAATAACTGGCAAACCATGTTCCACAGTGACTGTAGCATCTTACACTCCCTCTAGCCATGTCTGGGAATGCCAGCTGCTCTGTGCTCCTGCCAGTGTTTGGGGCTGTTTAATCCCAGCTATTCCAGCGAGTGGGTAGTGGTGTGTCATTGTGGTGTTAATTTGTATTTTCCTGATGACTAATGATGATGTTGAACATCTTTGATTTTGCTTTTCTGCCATTTCTAGGTTTTACTTTGGAGTTGTCTATTTTAAGCCTTTTGCCCGTTTGGGGTTGGGCTGGTTCATCTTTCTATGATTCAGTCGTAGGAGTTCTTCATATATTCGAATAGGTCTGGGTTCTTTGTCAGATGTCTGTTTGCATACAGCAGCATCTGATGAGCAGGTGTTTTTCATTTTGTTGAAGTCTGCTTTATCATTTTTTTCTATAGTTAGTGCTTCCTAGGTTCTGTCTACCTCAAGGATATCCTTGGGTACCTCACAATGGTGAAGCTATCCTTTGTTAGGATCTTTTCAAAGTTTTGTTGTTTTATCTTTTGCATTTAGGTCTCTGGTCCATTTTGAGATAACGTTTGTAAACGATGTGTGATGAGATACGAGAGATTTATTTTATTCCATATAGATACCCGGTTGTTCTAAAATCATTTATTGAAAAGATTATCTTTTCCTGTTGCATTGCATTGGTGTCTTTGTCAAAAGTATTTGAATGTGTACATGTAAGTTTATTTCTCTTCCCCTCATCTGTTTGGCTATCTTTATGCCGATTCCACATGGTCTTATTTACCAAAGCTTTATAGTAAGTCTTAAATAAACTCCTCTTAGCTTTTCAACTTGTTCTTTTTTTTTTGAAGAGTATTTGGCTATTCTAAAAAGTTTATTTTTCCATATAAATGTTAGTCTTCTCCAATGTCTGCCAAAAATATTCCAACTGGGATTTTGCTTAGGATTACAGGCAGTCCCCGAGTTACAAACATCCAACTAAGGTACAATTTGCACTATGGAGCAGAGGCTATTATAGGTAATAGGTAAACGTACCTATTCTAACTTACAGGCACATTCAATTTAAGAAGAAACCTATAGAACTGATCTCATTTGTAAGCCGGGACTGCCTATGCATTGAATCTGTAGGCCTCTTCAGGGAGAACAGACTTTGCAATAATACTGAATCTTTCAATCCTTAACATAGTATCTCTCTCCGAGTAGTTAGCACTTGTTTAATTTCTCTCAACAATAGCTTGTACTTTTCAGAGAAGTCTTGCACATACGTCATATTATCTCTATGTATTCTATGTTTTTTTGATGCTACTGTGACTTTTAGATTTAATTTCTCAATTGTTGCTATTACATACAAATAATTTCTGTGTATTGAATTTGTATCCTGCCTATTTACTAAATTCACTTATTAGTTCTAACAGACTTTTTGTGCATTTCTCAGGATTTTCCTTGTACATGGGGAAGGCATCTGTTAATAAAGACAGCTTTACTTCTTTCTTTCCAATCTATATTCTCTTTATTATTTTTTTCTTCTTCACTTTTCTGGTTAGGTCCCTCCAGTACAATGTTGAGGGAAAGAAATGAGTGGCTATCTGTGCTTTGTTCATGATCACAGGGTTCAGGTTTTCATTATTGTGAGCTGAAGTGGGTTTTTGTAAGATGCCCTTTATTACTTGAGGAAGTTACCTTCTATTCATAGTTTTCTGAAAGTTTTTTTTTTTTATCACAAATTGGTGTTACATGTTTTTTTCTACATCTATTGAGATGATTCTGTGGTTCCTTTTATTTTGTTAGGGTAGTAAGTTACATGGTTTTTAAAAGATGCCTATACTTTATTAAGAATATCAGAAAGTCAAACGGCGAAGTGAACTAAAGAAAGTTAACACCGTGGGGATGTTTATTCTTCACCAAAGAATGACTTCCTTATTTGAAGCTGCTTTTTTTCCTTACATAGGTTATATTTAAATTGTATAAACGGATGATTTCATATTCTTGTGAAATAATCACTACAATCAAGTTCTTACTTAGGCATCTAAATTACTTCAAGAGGCAGGGTAGTTTGAATAATTGATTTGTGTTTAAGAACATGTTTTCTACTCACTTCTATCCAAAGTTCCCCAGGATTTTACCTGGCTTTTAATATCACTCCTAAAACTACTCCCTCATAGGCAGGGAACCACAATCCTAGGATTAGCAGAGGGCTTCACTTTTAGTGAGTGGTGTGTTATTGATGGGCATAATTAAGACCATCTGCTGAGGTTTTTAAAAATCATTATTGGAGTATATTATCATATAGTAAAAGTGCTCGTTATTTATTTATTTTATTTTATTTTTAATCTGTGAAATGTAGAACATAGATGTTTTGGCACAAGAATCGAGTGCTCATTACTTAAAGTGAACAGTTGGATGAGTTTTGACCTACATGTGTACCCATGAAACTGTCACCACAGTTCAATGAATATATCCACCACCCCCGTTTCCTCATGCCCTGTTACAGTCTCTTGCTTGCCACTGCATCCCCAGGCAAACACCAGTCTGCTTTTTGTTAATGTGGATTAGTTTGCATTTCCTA